CCAGCCGGCCAGCTCAACTCTAAAGCAACCAGCGAAGAAAAATAGTCATATGACAAGTGATAATATACACCCCATATATAGCAATATATAATGGTCTACCATAATGTTACAATAATACACAACCTCCAATGAGGCTTTAGTTCAAACTGTTGCCACTGATATGGTTAGTTTCAATAGCAACGATCAACCAGTTACGGTTGTTTGTTTTTTTCGACTAGTGTGGGCAGGGTCCAGGTTGCTACGGTGATGAGACACCGACAGCTGCCTTTCTTTACACACCAGCAACAGCTCAGCTGATGAATGTAATATATGGTGGCCCTCACTCAGCCTCACCACACACAGCGCTGAAACTCGACTGTAGACCTGGACCCCCCATTTAAACCAATCAGATTCAGTGTAAGTGCAAAGTGTCGGAGGCACAGACAGACACTGAGTAAACGTCACTGACAATTCAGCTATAATCTGTCAAACTGATTCCCAGGGTTGAAATGATGTTAGTACAGTGACATACAGTTTCCTGCTTGGTTCTAATACAGGTCACAAGACATAGGACTGTAGGGGGGGGAGTCTGCTTCAGTCCCTTCTATGACTTTGTCTGTTTCTTATTTCAGCTCATCCTGCATATAGTAACAGCCAGTCAAAGATAGGAAAAATTGTGTAAATGTGTGTGTGTGCGTGTTTGCATGTGCCAGTGACTGCAGTGCTAGAGACAGCATAGAGAAGGTTTGTGTATGTGCACGAGTAAAGACAGAGCCTGTATACAGTGTGAGCAAGCACATGTCCCTGCGTGTCTGTGGCGAGGGCTACAGACATGACTCCCACTGCAGCTGCAGGTCTGTGCTGTCCAGAAAATCTGCAGAGAAGACGCTGGGTGGAGTGTGAGGTGCCAGTGGGGTCAGACTTGTCCCTCCATCTCCTCCACTTGCCCTCCCCCCTCCTCCTCCTCCTCCTCTCACCCCACAGCCGCCTCCGCTGACACCTGCTACCATGGAGATATCCAGCCAGTCCATGCTGTCCAAAGTGGGGTCACTAAAGTCCAGCCCTGCAGAATGGGGGGAGAAGTCCAGATCAGATGTGTCCATGGGAGAAGGAGGGTGGCCCAGGATGCTGGGTGTGCTCAGCATTTGGCTGTGTAGGTCGTCGATTAATGTCAGGCTGCCGTCCGGTTCCAAGCCCAGAAGCGGGGTGCCCGTAGTGCTCTCCAGGAAGTCCTCCAGGCGTCCGCTGCCTGAACAGGGCTCTCCCACAGAAAGCTGAGAGGTAATGAGGGGTTCTGTAGGGGTGGTAGGGGAGAGGTGGAAGGGAGATGGGGGAGAAGATGGGGAGGGAGGGTCAGAGTGGAGAGGGGCGAGGGAAGGGTCCGGGTTGGCCTTGAAGCCAACGATTTCTGGAGGAGGACAGAGAGAAAACCAGAAAACTCTCATCAGTGCTGGAGACAACCAACTGGCGGCAGCAACTGGTGGCAGCAGGTCATTACCTCCGCTCTTAAGCAGGATGTCGAACAGGTCGTCCATCTGCTGACTGTTCATGCCATTCTCCTGCTAACAGAGAGAAACATTATTAATCCGTACTCCAACCCAATACTTTGCACTAAAACACAAGCACCCTCCTTTGAAATAGTGACAGGGGGTCCGGTTTGTTCTTTGATCCATATCTGTGATATTTCACTGGCCACATGTAGATGACAGGATATTACAGCTGAACATGTGCAGCAGCCACCTTGATAAACAACAATATATAAGGTAACATCCAAAACACCTGCTTTAGTTCCATTGTCTTCTATTATGCTGCTGTCTTAGCTCTATGCAAATAAAACAGGTTTTGGTATTAGTCACCTAGAATCCAAACAAGAACAAGTCTGAACAGCCGACAATACGTATTGTTGTGTGTTGTGGTTTGGAAACAAGTGCAATTCTTTGTTTCTTTGTTCCGCTTGACTGGAAACACTCAACTGATCAAGCAAAAGTAGAGAAGGTGGACTGAGAAAAATGGGCAACAGCAAAAATACACAAAGAAAAATTAATTTGTGGGATACCTAATACAAATTAGTTTGATGATAGTACAAGAGGACATGAGGCTGGATTATGACAGACAGAAGAGATGAAGAGAAAGACATGCTGGAGAACATACTTTGGAGTGTTGAGTAGGAAGAGAGGTGTTGGGTTTGGGAGAGGGAGGGGTAAACAGTGTGTGACGGTCGTAAGGCGGACACATCTCTCTCTGTCAGGATGGCGTGATGAAGGAATGAAATGAGAGAAGAAACGAGGAGAAAAGATTAATCAATGTGTGGAGAAGACTGAGCAGTGGAT